TACCAAGAGAGCTGTAGGGATAGAATCGGAAGGCTTCGTAAAGAGATGCCACCTGGAGGGAGGGAAAGGCCAAGCTTGTTTCTGTGTGAAGAACAGGTGGAAGGAGCGCCACTGGAAGGGTGAGAATAGAGGAGTAGGGGCAGGTTTAGGAGGCTGCTGGGCACTTGTTGATCCGGGACCTGTGCAGCAGACAGATCCATGTCTGGGCTGGAGCTCAGGGGACATGGCTGGGAATCACCAGCTTTTATGGGTCCTTGAAACCAGGGAGTGGAGTGAGAGGCAGCATTCATAGTACGAGAAGAAGAGAACCGAAGACAAAGTTTGAGGAAACCTTAGTAGGTAATGGGGAGGTTAAGAAAGGGAAGTCAGAGAAGGAGGGCAGGGTTGGGGCACTTTCTAGAAAAGAGGGGTGCTGCCCAAGCCCAGGAAGGCATGGTGGCGGGCTGCAGAGAGGGCTGGGTGATGCCTGGCCGAAGGCTGGCCAGAGCCCACGCTGCCAGCAAAGAGGGAGCTGCAGGAAGGCTGCCTTAGAGTCAGGGACTCTGGTGCCCTGGGGAAAAACACCTTAGACTTGCACTTGCTGCTCCTATATGCAAGGGCACATAAGCACAGGATGTTGTTGAAGTGAGCTGATCAACAGGAAGAGCCTGCAGTGCTCTCAGTCTCAGCGTGGGGGGTGGGGGACAGCTCTGAGGGCAGCTCTTCTGGTCTGCACATATGTGAGCAGAGCCAGGAAAGAGCCTGGGCACTGGTGCCCGGTCGGCCTGGAGTCAGACCCCAGCCCTTCACGGATTAGCTGTGTGGACACCTGGAAATGCTTTTCCTTTTTTAACCTGAGTCTTACTGATTTCTTTTTATAAAGGGGAGGGGTCTTTGGATAGTTAAATTAGTTAACACATGAAACATGTTAGGGGTCCTCATCAAATGGTAGCCCGTGTCCCTCTAATTATCCCCTCTGACCACATCAAGTCAGGTCAGAACTACCCTCCATCATCTCCAAGTCACTGACAAATGTGCATGGGTTTAGTTTTGTCTACCTGACTTCTTTTTAAATCCAACATAGCTGTTAGCCCTCCACCCCACATTGGCTTATGGAGGTAGATCTGTGCGAGTGAATTAAGTAACAATAATGATAAACCCCTTAAATATGGGATAGAGTGAAAGTCTGCACACCATACGTGGGTCCAGTACTGCCCCTCGATGGTTGAAGCGTGTTGAAAGGCTGATGGTATGGGACAACAGATTAGGACAACTGTGTCCTAATGTTTTCATCAAAATAGATTTAAAAATAACTCACATGTAAAGAGTAAAACTGCCTACCAGCAAGAAGTTCTGTATCCTCAGCATTATGGCCATTTTCACAGGCCTGTTTATCAGAGTCATACTGGAACAGATTTGGTGGCAAAAATACCAGATTAGGAATGAACTAAGGGATTGGTACATAGGAGAAGTTTAGAGATTATAAAGTAGTGACATTCAAAGGCAATAATTTGGAGGTCACACTGGGAGCCCTTAGGTACAATCTGGCTTGCAGACTCACTTTGTTTGGTTACAGAGTGATTTTGGTAATGTTTGAATCCATTGCCAGCACTGAAATACTGGGAAACTTCACACTGTAACTGTTTTCCGGACATGACTTGGACCTGAGGCAGCACTTGCCCACAGTCCCGCCAGGGCGCCCCTCACTTGCCTGTCGTCCTAGACTGCTCCCTATTCCCTTGCTTGGTCTAGCTGTGGGGGCTCCTGGCAGAGAGTAAAGGGAGCTGCACAAGAGGGTAGAACAAATAGCGAACACTTTTAAATCAACTATTTTGTAGTGGTAAGATCTGGGACATTATGGCAAAACGGTATCCAAGCATCTTGGTTTTTGTTTTGTTTTTGTTTTTGTTTGATGGCCCTCAGTGTACACTAGGGAGTCTCAAAATCACTTATATTTATATGCAGATGCTCATTGCTTGTGCTATTTTCTCTGTAAATCTTTAATTTTGATACAAACTCTCCAAGGTAGGTATTGCTGGTGTCACTTTCCCGTTTTACAGAAAGACTGTAAGGTGACGCTGCTCAGGCCATGATTGATGGTGCAAAGCTTGGAAAGCAGTACTTAGGTCTTTGTACTGAATGCCTTCCTGCTCTCTCCTCCTGCCTTTGTGAGCTCTAGTATAAAAGTAAACTTCCATGTTAGCCCTTTTTGTCCTAAGAAACCTTGAAACTGAGATTTTAAATATATACACTTCCCTACCTGGTGTTATGTAGCTATAGTTTAATGTTCTATTAACCTATTTGGAAAACACCGTCTACCCTGTACGACATGGAGGCATCTCATAAATCGAGAACCGTAGCACAAAATTTTACACTTTATAGCCCCTTTAAAAAACTTGTTTAAAACTCTTTACTGAGATTAGTAACATCTAGAAAAGAGCCTCTCTCATGCGTGTAGAGCTCAGTGCATTTTCCACAAAGTGAGCATGCCCGTACAGTCAACACCCAGATCAAGGGAAAGTGCTTCCCAGTGGCTCCCCTTCAAAGCCCCTTCCAGGCATTTCCCATCCCCCCAGGGTGACCACTCCGCCAACTGCTGAGAGCCCCTCTAGTTTTTCAAGCATGCAGTGTAGTCGTATTCTTAAGCAACCTGAAACATCGTGAGGAACGTCGGGGTTTCTTGGTATTTGCCCATAAGAAATGTGGCCCTGGGGCAGACCCAGGACTGCAGCGACCTGTGCTGTGCCTGACCTTTGTGAGAACCAGGCCCGTTCACTTCGTTACTGTGGCCCCAACACGGGATGGGTTTCCGCTGACTGTTCTAGACTACTTAATGTCTTACGTAGTTCTGGTGACAAGATTGTATTTAAACTTTGCCCTTTCTCTTTGTAAAATAACAGTATTCTGCCAATGTCTCCTAAATTGTTTCAGTTTGAAGGTAAGTACTGTGATTTAAAGTAGTAGTCCAGATGTGAGTAGATTAATTCTCAATGTGCTTAAGTGCAAAGTTCTGCAGTTGATGTGATTTCTAGTGAAAATGTTTTCTAAGAGCTTTCTCAAATTTAGAAAATGATACCATTCCAGCAGTTATTCTTTGTTACAGATTTTCATAAAGTTGTGAGTAAATTTATAGTTCATTTTAAAAAGAGATGAGTGTTTTGCTTATTTCTAAAATAAGATAAAACGTCATGTTCCTTTTTATAATAGCATGATATTGTCCTGTGGTTACATTAATATCTTCGTTAACTAGCATGATTGGAGTTGACTCAGGTGCTAAACTAGCAGAATTCTTCAAGAGAAGAGGACTTTGCTGGAACATAGCTCACCGACCCCTCCCTGTGGGAGAGAGATGCACAGAGTCTGAAATTCTCTGTCTCGGGAGCACTGTTCTTTCCCACTGGCCTTTGTTTTATATACATTCATGAATACATCTGTCTATCAGCCATAAATCTTAAATCTAGTAATCTTGCTTCCCATTCCCCTCCAAAGTAGTCTCTGATCGTTTTACCTTCTCATATGTGCTTCTGGCCAGGCATAATATACAATGTAAGTCACTTAGAGGGGAAGTTACACAGGAAAAAAAAGAAAGCTTTAGAAATTACTGGTGAATGGTAGCTACCTCGTAGTTAACCCTATCTAACCTAAAAGTGCAGCATGTCGTTCAATATAGCTATCTACCCTGGTCCCCTGTCTTCCTCTCTTGCCTTCCCCTCCCACGTGTACCCCTTGTGACCTTTGCTTAACCTAAGTCAAGCCCTCCCAGCATAGCTGCCTAACTGCCGAAACTCTTAAATTTCCAGGCTTCCCTTCCGGATTGCTTGTCCTTAGTGACAACGCTGTAAGGGCCACACCCTTAGTGCTGTTGGCCTGAGGATGCCACTTATGTCTGTTACTGAGGTGTGAAATATAAACATATCCTCTCCCTAGCCTGAACTCTCACATTTGGTATTTTTGCCAGAAGAAAGGTGAGTTAAATATGAGAGGTGTTATTTTCAAAGCACCCACTAAAGATTCTTTCCGGTGTCCAGCTCATCCTTAGCCAAACAGCAACTAGGAAGGTGACCACGAGAAGCTAGTTACTGTGTTGAAGGGATATAAAGGGTGTCTATCGTCTGAGGTAAACATGGCTGAGGTGAACTTTGTAAAAACATTCTTCAAGGGCGTAAAGGGCACTAATTACTTACTGCCTTGCCTATTTTGAGGGCCATTAGTGAAGTGCATAAATGAAAAGCATAAGAAAAAAGTCCAATAAGAAGCCTGATCTCTTAATGACAAAAAATAAGCAGTATTCCACCCAAAATATGAAACTGCAAAAAAAAAAAAAATCTCAGTATAGAATAAAGAATATAACTAATATTTTCCACCTAGACTTAGTATTACATGATTTACTCTATCAAATCCATAGACAGACAGACTTATAATTTGGATTAGTTGGACAGGAGCCAGATAGACTTAAGTTCTGCCTCTGTTTCTCCCTCTGCTTTAAATAACCAAGAGCAAACCATTTAAACTGCCTATGTCCCTTTATCTTCTTTCTGGAATGTAAGTAATTATACTTAACTCTCTTTCATGAATATCAGTGAATTGTACTTCTGAAGTGATTTTAAATCCCTGTGTTTTGGAAAATGAATGTAATATATAGATATGATTATATTATAATGCTACAGTAGAAAGCTTTTTAACTTCCCTAAAGTTTAAAAGCATTCTTTTGAGACAGCTCAGAAAGCATATTTAGGTTTTTTTTTCCCATTTTAACCTTGTAGTAGACGCTAATAGAATTTTGGGAATCCTAGTCATTGAAAATGCTGAAATAGATCAACGTGCCGAAAAACCTTGTTTAATATAGTAACTTGATATGCATGATAGGTTATGCAGCATTTTCTTTGCTTTCAGTATTTGAATTCTTATTCTCTGTGTTCTTTGAGATGGTATAAATTATTTATGACCACAATATCAAATCTGTTTTTTAAAAAAAAAAAAAGAAAATCTTACTTCTTCTCTGATTATCAATTTTGACACAGGATCACGAATTTTCAGAAGATGAATTCGAGGACGTGGATGAGGAAATTGATGAATATCCAAAAGGCAAGAAGAACATACCAATGGATGAAGCCAAGGACAACTCAGTTGAAAAGGTATTGATTGACACCACTGAAAAGGTATGATGATACGTGCTTAAATCCTGAGATCCTGCCTAAGAGCAAGCATATGGGTTCCATGGTCTCTGCAGAGAGCAGGCTGCAGTTGCCTTTGGGAGCAGAAATAATTCTCTGAGAAACTTGGTTCTTGTGCTGTAGGAAAAGCTTTAGCAGATCTTTGAATCAGGCACACTTTGTTTCTCACACCCTTTCCACACTTCTTGGTAGCATTCTGTTCCCCGCTTGGGTGGAAATGAACTGATATGGGTCAGTCCAACATACTGTTGAGAAATTAACTGAGAAGTTCAGCACTGGGTCCTTAAAATGATGAAATTATAAAGTTAGGAGCCCTCTACTGGTGGCAGAAATGGGCCGTGTGTGTGCACACATACATGTGTATATTTACATGTATGTAGACAACTGAAAGCTGTTCACAGCAGTGTTTGAGGCTGTGCTCAGTGCTGCGTAAATGCAGTGTAGAAGAAAGGAGTTGTAGGAGGGAAAGGAGGAGCTATAACTGAAGAAAAGGAAGTCATCCTAAAAGTGGCGCTAGGAATGGCAGAAACATCTCTTCCATCTGGCAGTCTTTGTCCAAGAGGGACACTGCTAGGAGACAGTTGGTAGGTTTGAAATCATCCATTTGCTAACGCTGCTCTGGGTTAATTTCACAGGTAGGGAATTCAGAAACCCAAACTGAATGACGCCATGTCGATTTGTTTCCATTTTCATTTTTTGTACCTCTTGCACAGAGCACTGAGTCAATCATACCTTCTTGTTGATGAATCACTTGCATCTTTGGTCTGCGCAAGTCCTCCTCATTTAAATTGATTCCCTTTTAGTTCTCCTTTTCCATGACACAGACAACCGCTGAAACATGCTCGTCCTTTTATTTGAATGTGTACTTGTAAACCTGTGTTGTTTCATGTGCATGTATTTTTCATTTACAAAATGGGGCTGTGCTGTCGAGGTCATTTTCTTTAATTCCTTTCTCAAGACTCCTTCCTCACACTGAGGGAAAAAAAAAAGCTTCTAGCAGTTATTGTTTTCTTTCGGAGGGTGGGAAAGATTTATAAGGAATATTTATGAGTTCCAGTTTGGGTGGTCCCTGAAATTGTTTAACATAGAATAACTGAATCTCCAATTTGACAGTATAAAATGTTGAGCCAATTCATATACCAGCTAATGTTCCTGAATCATCTTTGAGTAGAATTCTTTTTTTTTTTTTTT